CTTGTCTGCTGGAGCTAGGTGTGAATGTTTCAACTGACCACCTTGATTAGCATTTGATGGCCTGGCAGTACCTGGGGGAAACTTTTGTTGAGAGGTGATTAGATGTCCTCGTTTGTTTCCTCTCTGTTGTTGTGCTGTTGTAATTCTTGAATTTTTTAATACTGGTAGCCAGATTTTGTTCATTTTCATGGTTTCCTCCTTTCTGTTGTCAGACTGCACAGAGAAGCCATTGAAATACACAAGCATGTGGACAATTTCAACAGAAAGGAGGAAACCATGAAAATGAACAAAATCTGGCTCCCAGTATTAAAAAACAAAAGACGTTTGTCGGAACACAGGCGCCTTAAAGGGCCAGACTCAGAGTTAGTTCCAAAACAGAGTTAATTAAACAAAGGAAAAAGACTCAGAGACACTTAATTCAATGTCTCTGGTCAGAACTCAAAGGTAAAAACCAGTCCTGGTTCAAAAAGGTTAACCAAAGTAATAATCCAGATTATCCAGAGAAAAGAACAAAGTACTTCGAAAGCCACACAAAACAGCACAGGATGCAAATGGTTAACAAAACAGAGAAGCCGCAGGGAAGTAAGCATAGTCAAGCAAAGTCCAGAGTTGTAGCAAGCAGAATCCAAAGTAGCGAAGTTCCAAGGTCCATGGAAGCAGCGTTGTAGTCAAACCGGTCCAAGAACAAGGAAGGGGGAAATCCACACTCATGAGAATCCAAGCCAAGTCGAAAGCACACACGAACAGGAGCAGCAACCTGCAGATCCCAAACCCAACGCCAATACGGAACAGGCAGTGACAAGTCCAAACAGTACCCAGTGCACGAATGTATACCAACACCTTGCCTTCTGCAAAGATTCCCCATTTCAGAGCCTACTTTTATCTTACACATCATCATCATTAGATGAGCTGACCTCTGCCCCATCATTATCCCTTGCAGCTGTTCTTGATTCCACACGTGAATCCTACTCCCATCTCTCCAACTTCTCCATCTTCTGTCAAGGCTTAGATCCCCCAAGACTCAGATGTATTCCCCAATTGCCAGTCCTCATTACCAGAGAACCCTACAAATGTATCACTAGACGTCGGCTCCACACATACAGCTTGTACCTCTTTTACCTTAGTCCAGTCCAATGTGTCATCCCCGTCTTCATCACTCCCTAACCCATCACCCCCAGAGAAACCCACAAATGATTCCTCATCTGTAGGAGCAGTAAGTATATCCCGGATCCTCTTTCTCTGTCGCTCCTGATCTGACTCCTGCTCACAAGTAACCCTCTTTGTTCCCCTATTCCCATCCATTGTATCTTCTTCCTCTCCTTCACACATTGACCCTTCGTCCTCAGAGAACCCCTCTGTTCTGTCGCCGCTGGGCTTAAAATGAAGTGCTTTTAAAACAAGATGTGCAACTTGAGCCCAACAGGAAGCCAGGAGGCCCGAAGAGAAGCCTTTAGAGATTTCCCCCCCATAAACAGTCTTTAGAGGGCTTGAGCTTAAATACAACGAAGTCTTTTATTGATGAACAATCAAACAGAAACTTCTTTTGTCTTCAAAGGTTAAACAAATGCTTCCAGGCTTCAAGCAACTGGTGGCTTCTAACTGTTTCTTTGCTTTACTTCAAAGGAAAATCCCTTTCTAGCTCCTCCCAGGCTAACTGTGAACCTAAACTGATGTGGATCCACTACCGGGCTGAACTGCGTCTCAAAACCGAGTGGACCTACCAGTAGGCCTGTAGTCACTTAGCTGGAGTTCTTGGTGTTTAAAGCGGTTATTCCCTCCAAAAATTTCCTCAGGGCTGTAAGGCTGTTTCCTTGGCACCTTTGGGAATCTTTAGATGCTCTTAAGACTGTTCTCCCCCAGGAAGTCTGAAGGGTTGAAGCTTTTGCACAGGAGACCTGGACACATCCTGTACATTAGATATTCTTGCTAAGACTAACTAAAAAATGGCTCCCTTCACTTCTCTATACCCAAAAGTGGGGACTAGAGAACCTAATGATGATGGACAGGTGGCCTGCCCTATAACTGCAAACTTTAACAGGAAGCCACCCTTCTGCAGAATCCCAAGCCTTGGGCTGCAAGCAAGCACTTAATACAAGGCAAATAAAGTGGGAGCTTCTGGTATAGCTGTACCAGCACACCCTCAAATGAATCCTCATCGGTAGGTGCCATAAGTATATCCCGGATCCTTTTCCTCTGTTGTTCCTCATCTGACTCCTAGAATCATAGAATCAAAGAGTTGGAAGAGACCTCATGGGCCATCCAGTCCAACCCCATTCTGCCAAGAAGCAGGAATATTGCATTCAAATCACCCCTGACAGATGGCCATCCAGCCTCTGTTTAAAAGCTTCCAAAGAAGGAGCCTCCACCACACTCCGGGGCAGAGAGTTCCACTGCTGAACGGCTCTCACAGTCAGGACGTTCTTCCTCATGTTCAGATGGAATCTCCTTTCTTGTAGTTTGAAGCCATTGTTCCATTGCGTCCTAGTCTCCAAGGAAGCAGAAAGGAAGCTTGCTCCCTCCTCCTCCCTGTGGCTTCCTCTCACATATTTATACATGGCTATCATATCTCCTCTCAGCCTTCTCTTCTTCAGGCTAAACATGCCCAGCTCCTTAAGCCGCTCCTCATCCTGCTCACGAGTACCCCTTTTTCCCCTTCTGGCACCCATACTACTGCTGGCAACATTACTTACAGGCTCTACTACAACAACGTGTGTAGAGAGCACGTGGCAGAAAAGAAGAGCAGCAAACCAGAAAGCTTTGGAAGTCACAGAGTTTAGTTTAATTCAACAAATTATCAGTGATGTTATTGTAAGGCATCAATGTACATTTAAAAGGAAGTTCCACCAGGGTTACATACATTCTCCCGGGGGGAAAAAATCGAGTAAAAACGGAGGCCTAAGGCAGCAGGAGGACAAACGTAGTGGCTGCTGGTCTTTGCCAGGCTGGAAGTGTGGTGCTGCGTACCAGGAACGTCCAACTAACTGTTTGGCATCTTACCAATGGGAGGTAATTCTGTGATATACGTATATATTTGCTTTTGAGACGGGGATGATTCCCCGCCGTAGTCCCTGCTATTTAGGTCAAGTGAATCTCTGTGAAAGTGAAAAGAAAAAGTTTCCTGAAATTGCAAAGTATTTCACAACCTACGAAGCATCATCTTTCAGAGTCCCTGGTTCTTTATTGCTTTAATCCCATTTTTTATCTTATGTTGGCAAACACACACACAACAAAAAATAAATAATCAACAAGAGGATGGGGAGAAATCAGGTTAATGGCAAGTAGCTCCACTCGCACGGGGTTGTAAACGGCTTTTTAAAAGGTGGACCTCAGCCTTCGCTTCTCCATCCCTGCCATCCATGTCATGACGTGACTGCTCTCCACCAACAACTCACCCCTCAAAATGGGCAACACCACCCAAAATAATTCTTCAATAGGAAGGCGACTAGCATGACGAGCAACGTCCACATGTGCCGGAAGCAGCAGTCAGGTAAAAGCCATGGCAGCAGAATTGTGTGTGTCTGATTGTGCAATGGACATGTGCCATGGTGCCAAGCTACTAAGGGCACTACTAGGGTAAAAGACTCTTCAATTCACAGATTACTGCTGCATGCATTCGTGTGCCCATCTACCACAAAGAGTAAAGCAGCCTTCTTGCGCAAGGCATCTCCCAAAGGTCAAAAGGATGTAAACAAATCCATGTTCCCACACAGTCCATGCCTTTCAAAGGTGGTGAATAGATCCAGCACTTTCCTGGCTGCGTTGTTGTAGGTTTTTGGAGGCTATATGTCCATGTTCTAGAGGCATTCTCTCCTGATGTTTCGCCTGCATCTATGGCAAGCATCCTCAGAGGTAGTGACCTCTGAGGATGCTTGCCATAGATGCAGGCGAAACGTCAGGAGAGAATGCCTCTAGAACATGGCCATAAAGCCCAAAAAAACCTATAGCAACCCAGTGATTCCGGCCATGAAAGCCTTCGACAATACTCTCCTGGTTGTTTTTAAAAGGCTCCTGTTTTGTTCAATCATCGGCTCTGATTATTACCCCAAACTTCCCCTTCCAATGAAAAATTAAAAACCCAGCCATTCCCACATCATGAAAATCTGAGCCTCTATCACGTTGCTCAGCGTTGGTCACTATCTGACCGGTGCACCAGTGCCACACGCACGGCTACCTCTCCACTCATTTCTAGGCTATCTGTATGAGAAAGACGTTGCATAGTGAGTTTTGTTTGTGTCTGCCTGCCGGCCTAAATATCAGTAAAGAAAAGTTTTGGTGAACAGCAGTGTGGGTAGGTTAAAAAAAACATTGTTGGCTAGCAACGTAGCTCTGACCCCACATTTGGCTTGGAAGAAGCTGACTCTAAGATCCAACAGTCGTTTTCTCATATGGAGAAAAGTTTGCAAAAAAATGTCTTTGGTAAGACACAAGCTTTTCTGGGTCTCAAAAAGACATTTCTGAATGGAAAAAAATAATGTAATTTAATGTTGCCCTAACTTGCTCCCAACACTGGGAACGCATCCAGCATGATCTTTGGTCCCAGTGCATCCACCAGGACGTTCTCTTGCGCACACGTTGAACAACCTACCCCAAAATGTATTTTGGGTGGATTGCACCTTGCTGATGCAGACCATGTATAGATTTGGAAGAAGAAGCAAGGTAACATAGCTCTCCAACTGTTTTCAGAGCCACATCTCAGACACGGATGAAGGCTGAGGCTTAAGATTTGCAACAGAGCTGGAGAATATTTCCCCCAAATCTAATGCAATTGAACAACCTAACCCAAGATGTATATGGGTGGATTGCACCTTGCTGATGCAGCCCATGTTTAGATTTGCAAGAAGAAGCAAGGTAACATAGCTCTCCAACTGTTTTCAGAGCCACATCTCAGACATGGATGAAGGCTGAGGCTTAAGATTTGCAACAGAACTGGAGAAAATTTTCCCCAAATCTAATGCAATTTAACAATACTTGCGTATCGATCATCTCACGAAAGAGAAAGGCAGGAGGCTGTTGGATCCCTGCCCAAGTCTCCCAAACTTTGACACCTAAAACTTGATTCCTCCAGATCTTCCAATTCCTGAATCGCACAGTAAAGAGCACAAAGGGGAACAGGTTCTCCCCACTATCATTTTCGTTCATTTTTTTTTTTTAAAAAAGACCTTCTTCTTTGTGAATCCCTGCCTCACTTTCAAATGTCCATGATCCTGATCATCTCTTCACCTTACTACCTCAACAACACGCACCCGGAGGCGACTTTCTCTATCTCTCTCATCCTGGAGGTCAAGCCACCTGCCAGATGATGCCTGAAACAAAACCGTTATTGTTATTTTTCCTGCTTGCAATGGACACCCTGGAATTCACATTCATGATGCATCAAGTCAGAAGATCCATCCCAAAACAGCTCCTGCTTGCAGCTAAAAGGAGGTATGTCCCTGATATCTAGCTGTGCCAATATGTCAGGCACCTGAAGGCACATTTGTGGTGGGCTGGAGGCGGGAGCGGAGATCGTGGAATCCGGTCCTCCCGACCACGGCAGCGATGGCACGAAGGGGGAGCAGTGCTTTCTTCATATGGCCTCCTTCCTTCCTGCCTGCATTGGCTGCCCGCCCTCCAGCTTCAAATGCCCGGCACAAGCTGGTGCGCTAAGCAGACACGTTTACATCCCTGAGAGAAATGGCACTGTGGACGGCTTCCGGGGACCTGTCCTCGTACCCAACCGCCAGGGCCTCTGTGGTAACCGCCGTCGTGTCCATGGCAAGGAGCGGGTTCAAGCCCTGCGTCAAGATCTGCTGGATGGTTTTCCGCAAGTTGGGGTGCAGCTGGTTCTGGGTCTGATAGAAAACTTCTAAGGCAAAGGACTTCAAGGTGCCAGTGCAGAGGTCCTCGTACAATGGGATCGTGTACATCCGGGACATCTGTAACAGAACAAGCGGGGCATCATTCAAAAGATGAGCAGGGAAGAATTAAGAAGGACAACAGTAAACAAAAATGACAGAGCATAATAGATGAGAACCTAAGCTCAGGAAGTCTAACAAGATAAATTCCAACAGGGAGAAATGAACACTTCTCCTTCTCCTTCTCATTATTATTATTATTATTATTATTATTATTATTATTATTATTATTATTATTTGAAACACAACAAGATGAGTCCACAGCAGACACTCTGCTGGCTGTTGTATAGGATCACACGACGGACACTTCCCAAGTGTCTAGGACTGTGTGATATATCGGCAAATAATGCGTGCAGATCCCAGTAAGGTGGCCTTCTGCAGCTGGCAGATGGTAATTTTGTCAGTGCAGATTGTGTTTAAGTGCAGGCCAAGGTCTTTAGGCACTGCACCCAGTGTGCCGATCACCACTACTTATTATTATTTGAAACACAACAAGATGAGTCCACAGCAGACACTCTGCTGGCTGTTGAATTGGATCACACATCGGACACTTCCCAAGTGTCTAGGACTGTGTGATGTATCGGTGAATAATGCATGCAGATCCCAGTAAGGTGGCCTTCTGCAGCTGGCAGAGGGTAATTTTGTCACCACTTATTGTGTTTAAGTGCAGGCCAAGGTCTTTAGGCACTGCACCCAGTGTGCCGATCACCACTGGGACCACCTTGACTGGCTTGTGCCAGAGTCTTTGCAGTTCAATCTTTAAATCCTCATATCGTGTCAGCTTTTCCAATTGTTTCTCTGCAATCCTGCTGTCACTTGGGATTGCAACATCGACAATCCATACTTTGTTTTTTAACACGATTGTAATGTCAGGAGTATTATGCTTCAAAACTCTGTCTGTCTGAATCCGGAAGTTCTAGAAGAGTTTGGTGTGTTCATTCTCTGTAACTTTTTCTGGCTGGTGATCCCACCAGTTCTTTGTCGCAGGCAGATGGTATTTGTGGCACAAGTTCCAATGAATCATCTGAGCAACGGTGTTATGCCTCTGCTGGTAGTCTGTCTGCGCGATCTTCTTGCAGCAGCTGAGGATGTGAACTATTGCTCCATCTGCTTCCTTGCAGAGTCAACAATCCATACTTTGTTTTTTAACACGATTGTGAGGTCAGGAGTATCGTGCTCCAAAACTCTGTCTGTCTGAATCCGGAAGTCCCAGAGGAGTTTGGCATGTTCATTCTCTGTAACTTTTTCTGACTTGTGATTCCACCAGTTCTTTGTCGCAGGAAGATGGTATATGTGGCACAAGTTCAGGCAGATGGCACAAAATAATAATAGTTGTTGTTGTTGTTGTTGTGTGGTTTTCTGGCACTGTATATTTCTGCCGCTTCTGTGATTGTTCATTTGTATTCTGATTCTGTAGCCCACTTGTCAATGGATGTCCAGAATCAGCAGCATCCACCGCGGTCCTTCTAATCCTGGGCGTCGACCGAGCAAGTATAGATTTCATTTTGGTTTGTTTCTCCATAGTGCTAATAGGTTAGGTGCTCTTAGGTCCACTCTTCAGCTGACCTCAAAATCGAACTGCAAAGGCTCTGGCATAATCTAGTACAGGTGGTCCCAGTGGTAATTGGCACACTGGGTACCATGCCAAAAGATCTCACGGGCATTTGGAAACAATAAACATTGACAAAACATGATCTGTCAACTGCAAAAAGCCACCTTACTTGGATCTGTGTGCATCATTGAAAATACATCACACAGTCCTAAACACTTGGGAAGTGTTCATTGTGATTTTGTGATATGAAATCCAGCATATAGATCTCATTTGCTGTGTTTTTGTGTCAGTAAATAATAATAATAATAATAATAATAATAATAATAATAATAATAATAATGGGATTGCAAACAACATTTAATGGTTCTTGTGGGTTTTTTCGGGCTATAGAGCCATGTTCTAGAGGCATTTCTCCTGACGTTTCGCCTGCATCTATGGCAAGCATCCTCAGAGGTAGTGAGGTCTGTTGGAATTAGGACAATGGGTTTATATATCTGTGGAATGGCTGGGATGGGGCAAAGAGCTCTTCCCTGCTGGAGCTAGGTGTGAATGTTTCAACTGACCACCTTCATTAGCATTTGAAGGCCTGGCTGATCCTGGGAAAATCTTTTGTTGAGAGGTGTTAAGATGTGCCTGGTTGTTTCCTCTCTGAGGTGCTTGCCATAGATGCAGGCGAAACGTCAGGAGAAATGCCTCTAGAACATGGCCCTATAGCCCGAAAAAACCCACAAGAACCTAGTGATTCCAGCCATGAAAGCCTTCGACACTTTGACACAGAGGTGTTTTAATGGGGACTCGCAGTGGGTTAAACAGCTGAGCTGCAGAACTTACTGACCGAAAGGTAAGCAGTTCAAATCTGGAGAGTGGGGTGAGCTCCTTCTGTCAGCCCCAGCTTCTGTCAACCTAGCAGTTTGAAAACATGCAAAATGTAAGTAGATCAATAGGTACCGCTCCGGCAGGAAGGTAACGGCGCTCCATGCAGTTAAGCAGGCCACATGACCTTGGAGGCGTCTATGGACAACGCCAGCTCTTCAGCTTACAAATGAAGATGAACACCACTCCCCAGAGTCAGACGCAACTAGACTTAATGTCAAGGGGAAACCTTTACCAATGTAGTATCGTGTTTAATTGTGTTTTGGGTTTTTTTATCATGTTTTTAGCTTTATTTTGTTTTAGTCTTGTGTTAAGACAACTTGAGACCCATATTAGGAGAAAGGCAGGGTATAAATTAAACAATTTGATTAATTACAATCTGTTGACAGTTCATCTTGCTTTGCCATTGTTCTAACGAGGATAGGAAGCTTCAACGTGAAACTGATGATTCATTTCTAGGTCAAGACAATGCAAGCTTTGCCAAACTTGGTCCCTCCCAGTGTTTTGGATTATAATTTAAGGACTTAGAGCATCAACCAACATATCCAAAGTATGTTCAAAAACTATGTTCTAACATCTCAGTCGCTTGTATTTAATGAGAAATGGAAATGTTGACAAATTACCACTCAGCAAAAACTTGGCCAGGAAGACACTGTTTCTGGATTCGTTGCAGGCGACATATTTCAGCCCTCCATCACATCCCTCAGACAATATAGAGCTTTTTTATATAACCTATCAATCAATACCTGGTTTTCCAAGAAGCGCCGGACTTTGTGAAGGTCAGGGTAGTAGTCGTTGCGGACAATGATCTGCAGCCAGCGGATGCGAATCTCTGCGTTCATGCTGTCCAGGTGGGCCGAATAGCATTCGGAGAGCTTTGATATCACCTCTGAAAAGCACACGTTAGGAGGTTGAGAGTTAGTCCCAAAATTGCAGGTGGTTCAATGAGCTATCAAATTATCAGGCGTTCCTAACCATTTTGAACCAGAAACCAGTCTAAAAAGTAAATCTGTACTTCTGTCTGGTAACGTCTCCGGGTGTTATAGTCTCAGTCCATCCTCCAGGCATGATCATCAAGTTTGCAGACGACACCAAATTGGGAGGGATAGCCAATACTCCAGAGGACAGGAGCAGGATTCAAAACGATCTTGACAGATTAGAGAGATGATGGGCCAAAACTAACAAAATGAAGTTTAACAGGGACAAATGCAAGATACTCCACTTTGGCAGGAAAAACGAAATGCAAAGATACAGAATGGGGGACAATGCCTGGCTCGAGAGCAGTACGTGTGAAAAAGATCTTGGAGTCCTCGTGGACAACAAGTTAAACATGAGCACAACAATGTGATGTGGCGGCAAAAAAAGCCAATGGGATTTTGGCCTGCATCAATAGGAGCATAGTGTCTAGATCTAGGGAAGTAATGCTACCCCTCTATTCCGCTTTGGTTAGACCACACCTGGAATATTGTGTCCAATTCTGGGCACCACAATTCAAGAGAGATATTGACAAGCTGGAATGTGTCCAGAGGAGAGTGACTAAAATGATAAAAGGTCTGGAGAACAAGCCCTATGAGGAGCGGCTTAAGGAGCTGGGCATGTTTAGCCTGAAGAAGAGAAGGCTGAGAGGAGATATGATAGCCATGTATAAATGTGAGAGGAAGCCACAGGGAGGAGGGAGCAAGCTTGTTTTCTGCTTCCCTGGAGACTAGGACGCGAAACAATGGCTTCAAATTACAAGAGAGGAGATTCCATCTGAACATGAGGAAGAACTTCCTGACTGTGAGAGCCGTTCAGCAGTGGAACTCTCTGCCCCGGAGTGTGGTGGAGGCTCCTTCTTTGGAAGCTTTTAAACAGAGGCTGGATGGCCATCTGTCAGGGGTGATTTGAATGCAATATTCCTGCTTCTTGGCAGAATGAGGTTGGACTGGATGGCCCATGAGGTCTCTTCTAACTCTTTGATTCTATGATTCCACCCAATTCCCTTATTTTCAGGGTTTTATTTTATTTTAATTCATTTATAGCTGTATTGCCTCTCCTGTCCACCCTGCAAAACTCACCATGAGGCAGCGGTGAGCCATCCAGAAGCCTGTCCAGGAAAAGCACTGTCTGGAACGTCTGCCACTCGGTAATGTTGACGCTGTTTGCCACAGACACCGCATCCAGAGGCTCCGTGGTCCAGAGGCTGAAGAGGGTCTCCACGGGACTGGTCAGACTGGATCCCTGAGATAAGTCTGGCTCAATTAAAGGAGGGCCCGTTGCATTGAGCCAGCGTTCGAACTCGAGCCCTGCAAGAGACACACCAACATGGATCACAGGAGGTTGAAGAGAAGAAGAATCAATACCTGTGTACAGAGCAATCAGGGGCAGAGGGAGTCCTGTGGTGCAGGCCTGCTTCCTTGTTTTTCACCTCTGTTTCTTAGATCTTTGTAACACAAGGAGTTTTGCTTTTTGCCTGCATGCAGAAAGCAAAACAGTTGAATAGGTTGGGTGAGAGTATAAAACCCTGCCATACCCCTTTCCCAATCTTGAACCAGTCTGTTTTTCCATGGTAAGTTCTTACTGTTGCTACTTGGTTATTATACAGATTCCTCAGGAGACAGACAAGACGGCCATTCTTGTGCTTTCCATATATGCTGGCATATGGCATGCATCACCTTGACAGTATCCTCTTTCAAGATTTTAAACAGTTCAGCTGGGATCCCATCATCTCCTGCTGCCTTGTTGTTAGCAATGCTTCTTAAGGCCCATTCAACCTCACTCCTCAGGATGTCTGGTTCTAATTCACTCACCACACCATCAAAGCTATGCTCGCTACTATTATCCTTCCTATATAGATCTTCTGTATAATCTCGCCACCTTTTCTTGATCTCTTCAGCTTCTGTTAGGTCCTTGCCATCTTTGTTTTTGATCATGCCCATGTTATTATTTATTTATTTACTGCATTTCTATGCTGCCTTTCTCAGCCTGAAGGCAATTCAAGGCAGCTTACAATGGCATGATTCAATGCCACAATGAACATAAACAAAGTATTGTCGAAGGCTTTCATGGCCGGAATCACTGGTTTGTTGTAGGTTTTTTCAGGCTGTATGACTATGGTCTAGAGGCATTCTCTCCTGACGTTTCGCCTGCATCTATGGCAAGCATCCTCAGAGGTAGTGAGGTCTGTTGGAACTAGGAAAAAGGGTTTATATATCTGTGGAATGACCAGGGTGAGACAAAGGACTCTTGTCTGCTGGAGCTAGGTGTGAATGACATCTAATTACCTCTCAACAAAAGTTTGCTCCAGGCACAGTCAGCCCATTGTATGCTAATCAAGGTGGTCAGTTAAAACATTCACACCTAGCTCCAGCAGACAAGATTCCTTTTCATGCACAAAAATATTACAAATATTTAAATGATTTTAAAAATATTATAGTTTCCTATTTATTTATTTTTGCCCCACCTGTTTTGCTCTCAATGCATTGTTCCTTCAGTTCTGGGAAGAAAGCCAGGTAGGAATCCAAGAGGTCCTGGGCCACAACGCTTGTGAACTTGTACTTCTCGATATAGGCCTGAAAAGGAGGAAAGAAAACGTGTGAATGACTTGGAAAACATCAAGGGAAAAAACAGGCAAAACATTCAAATATCAGGGAGGGAGAGCAATCATGGGGAATTAGCAGTAAAGCAAAGGCGGCAGGGAGACAATCTATATATATATAAATGCTCTGTTTGTTTTGAGAGACATCATAACTCAAAAACCGCTGGACTAATTGCTGCCAAATTTGGCCACAAGACACCTACCAACCCAAGGAGTGACCATCACTAAAATTTTTGATTTTGTCATTTGGGAGTTGTAGTTGCTGAAATTTATAGTTAACCTACAATCAAAGAGCATTCTGAACTCCATCAACGATGGAATTGAACCAAACCTGGCACACAAAACTCCCATGACCAACAGAAAGTAATGGAAGGGTTTGGTGGGCATTGACCTTGAGTTTTGGAGTTGTAGTTCACCTACATCCAGAGAGCACTGTGGACTCAAACAATGATGGATCTGGACCAAACTTGACACAAAGACTCAATATACCCAAATATGAACACAGATGGAGTTTGGGGGATATTGATTTTGTCATTTGGGAGTTGTAGTTGCTGGGATTTATAGTTAACCTACAATCAAAGAGCATTCTGAACTCCATCAACGATGGAATTGAACCAAACTTGGCACACAAAACTCCAATGACCAACAGAAAGTACTGGAAGGGTTTCGGGACATTGACCTTGAGTTTTGGAGTTGTAGTTCACCTACATCCAGAGAGCACTGTGGATTTAAACAATGAAGGATCTAGACCAAACTTGACAAAACCAGCAATTAGCTGGGTCAAGTTTGGTCTAGATCCTTCATTTGACACAAATACTCAATATACCCAAATATGAAAACAGGTGGAGTTTGGGGGATATTGATTTTGTCATTTGGGAGTTGTAGTTGCTGCTATTTATAGTTCACCTACAATCAAAGAGCACTGGTTACAATGCACTCTACACTGCTATAAGGTAAAGGTAAAGGTTTCCCCTTACATTAAGTCTAGTCATGTCCAACTCTGGGGGTTGGCGCTCATCTCCATTTCTAAGCCGAAGAGCCGGCGTTGTCCGTAGACACCTCCAATGTCATGTGGCCAGCATGACTGCATGGGGCGTCATTACCTTCCCATAGGAGCAGTACCAATTGATCTACTCGCATTTGCATGTTTTCGAACTGCTAGGTTGACAGAAGCTGGGGCTAACAGTGGGAGCTCACCTCGTTCTCTGGATTTGAACCATCAACCTTTCGATCAGCAAGTTCAGCAGTTTAACTCACTGCGCCACATTGCCATAGATAGCAAATATTTCTACAATGACTTAGATCAAATAGATAAAGAAAGAAGGAACAAACACAAACACAGAGGCCCTAACTTTCGGGTGCTGCCTCCCTTGCTTCCCTAGATATCCCATCTAAAGTGCACACAGGTAAGGGCCTCATCATATACACACAAAGGTGGATACAACCCAGCCATGAAACCCAAATTACTAACTCGGAGGAAGGCATCAAAGCGCATTGGGTCTCCGCAGAGCTGAGACAGGTAGTAAACAAAGCAGTAACCTTTCTCATACGTGAAGAGGTTCATCAGATTGCTAGGATTCACACCTGGAGGAGAAGGAAACAACAACAACGTATTGGTAAGGATATACACAACACATGGCGCTCAAAGCCAAGAATACAAAAAGAAAGCCATTGTAGTTTATAATCTACAATGGGATGGGAACTAACTTCCATTCTCCTCCCTCGATTCTGGATAAAAATCCATCCAATATTTATCAATGTGTTGGAGTTCAGCCTGTGATTGTGTTTCAAGATGATCAAAGGGCTTTAGATCATCTGAGGGTCAAGTTGACAGTAGTCTCGTCAACTATATTAATGCAGAGACAAACAATGATGGATATGGACCAAACTCTACACGAATACTCAATATGCCCAAATGCGAATACTGGCCAAGTTGCTGGGATTTATAGTTCACCTACCATCAAAGAGCATTCTGAATTCCACCAATGATAGAACTGAACCAAAAGTGGTACACAGAACTCCCATGACCAACAGAAAATACTGGAAGGGTTTGGTGGGCATTGAGTTTTGGAGTTGTAGTTCATCTACATCCAGGGAGCGCTGTGGACTCAAACAATGATGGATCTGGACCAAACTTGGCACAAACACTCAATATGTCCAAATATGAACACCGGTGCAGTTTGGGGAAAGTAGACATAGGCATTTGGGAATTGTAGTTACTGGGATTTATAGTTCACCTACAATCAAAGAGCATTATGAACCCCACCAATGATAAAATTGGGCCAAACTTCCCACACAGAACCCCCATGACCAACAGAAAATATTGTGCTTTCCGATGGTCTTTGGTGACCCCTCTGACACCCCCTCGCGACCCCCCAGGGGTCCTGACCCCCAGGTTGAGAAACACTGTCTTAGACAATCCCTCGTAGTTCGAGGATGATGGTCTTCTAGATGTGGTGTCTTGGTGGTGGGTCCGTAGGTGGCAGTGGAGTCCTATTCTTGATCCGCATGTTTTCCCGCAGTGAGGACATGGGCTTCCAGGTGGAAGGCGATCTTGGTCAGGGTTGGCTTGATGCGCTTTTCTCTTGGCATGTTTCTTCCTTTCACCCTTCATTTATTCCTCTTCTAATTCTGCAGCACTGCTGGTCACAGCTGACCTCCAGTTGGAGCATTCAAGGGCCAGGGCTTCCCAGTTCTCGGTGTCTATGCCACATTTTTTGAGGTTGCCTTTAAGCCCATCTTTAAATCACTTTTCCTGTCCACCAACATTGCATTTCCCTTTCTTGAGATGGGAGTAGAGTAACTGCTTTGGGAGACGGTGATCGGGCATCCGGACAACGTAGCTGGTGCTGCTTTGGTCAGACCTCACCTGGAATACTGTTTCCAATTCATGAAGGATATGGACAAGCTGGAACATGTCCAGAGAAAGACAACCAAGATGATCAAGGCTCTGGAATCTAAAGCTTATGAGAAAGGTATGTGTTGGTTGGAGAAGACTGAAAGGTGGTGTGGTACCACTGTGACATTAAATTTATATTTAAGTTTAATGTGTTCAGGAAGAGAAAAAAGAAAATACAATAAAATTTAACAGGTTTTGACACTGTCAGCCAGAAGTACTCTAGCTCCTGTTTTGTAAAAGCAAAATGTACCTGGCTCCAGCTTAACCTGAAGCTTGCTAACAGGGTTGTCCTCACCAAGGAGCTTCATTTGTCTGTGGAGGGCATCAAGGCGGAAGGCAGTCTCCAGGCAGGTAAAAGCAGCACCTGTCCAAACATAAATGCACCTCTTCAGGTCAGGTATGGGCAAACTTCAGCCCTCCAGGTGTTTTGGACTTCGACTCCCACAATTCCTAACAGCCTAGCTTTTTTTGCAGTCCAAAACACCTGGAAGGCTGAAGTTTGCCAGTGCCAGGTATAGATCAACAGCAGATTTGCAGCTATTTAGCTGTTTAGCACATTGTGAGTGGGCACAACTTGAACTCAATTAAGAATGCATTTCCCTCCTTACAATATTACTTGGGAGTCCTAGTGTTGTAGTTCAGCGTGATGGTAACGTTACTACTACTGGTAGAAGGGAGAAGATGTCTGCGCAGGAGTTAGAAGAGGAACAACAGCGAAAGCGCATTAGGGAGATAATCATGGCCCCAAGTGATTCGGAGACGTTTGAGGGCTTCTCCGATTGTGAAATGGGGGATGGGGAGGAGAGCAGGGGAGTAAAGAGGGCTACTCGTGATCCGGAGTCCGATGAGGAGCTTCAGAGGAAGCGCATCCAGGAAATACTTAGCGCTCCTACAGAGGACGAGGATTTCATGAGGTTTGAAAGGAGTGATGGGTCTGGGAGTGATGTGGGAGAGGAGGATGAGCTGGATTGGACCCGTGTTCAACAGATTAGGGACATTTGTAACCAACCCACCTCCAGTGATGAATTTGAGGGGTTCACAGGGGATTGGCAACCAGGGAGCATTTGGCAAGATCTAAGTCTTGGCAGACGCTGGCAGAGGTGGAGAGATGTGAGCTCGGGTTCAGCTGCGGGGATGGAAGCAGCTGAGAGCGATGAGGAAAGGGTGGGGAGCTCACCATCCTCTAATGAGGAACTGTAGGATAAAAGTGGGTTCAGAATGTATGGCTCTTTGCAGAAGGCAAAGTGTCTTTATGGGACATAAATCTTTGTTACTGCCAACTATCGAGCTTGGGTCCTTGGACTACAAATTCCTGTGTTCCTGTGCTGCTGTGATTCCTGCATTCCAGTGTTTACATTACTACGGCTGGACCACGGACTGGTTTGACCAACGCTTTTAGCTTTTTGGACTTAAGACATTGCTAACTTCGTGATAGAACATTGCATTGTTTTGGGACTTCGTTTTCTACCTTTTGTGACTGTGTTTTTGAACTGTGCAAACTTTGAAGCAGATTGCTGAACTTTGTGTTTAACCCGGATTAAACAGTGTTATAATCCGGGTTATATTTTTGTTCTTGGTATCGTGATGCCAAATTGCTGCTCTGACTCTTTGCACTGAAGTTAAGTGCTTTGAAAGGCTATTTTTGTATAATAAAGCTGTGTTTGAACTCTTTATCTTGTGTTTGGCTCTACTTAAGGCTTCTGGGTCTTGACACCTAGGCAATGGCAGGAAGAGTTGAGGTGCCCCAAAAGCCCTGATCACCCTAAGAGAAAGCAAGCAGCTCACCATATGTCTCAGTGGTGATCCGGCGCTGAGCGTAAGTGGCCAGCCCCTCGCTCAGCCACATCTCCTCCCAGGTGGCGTTGGTAACCGCGTTGCCAAACCAGCTGTGCGCCACTTCATGGATGACATCGATGATGAGGAACTCATCGCTCTCCAGGATGGAAGAGATAATGAAGGTCAGGCATGGGTTCTCCATGGCGACCATTGGGAACGAGGGGGGAAGGAAAACGATGTCGTACCTGAAAGGGCCAGAAGGGAAGGAGAGAGAACCAAACCCATTGTCAGGAAAGTGGAGCCGAAATGTTAAAAGCATGTGTTCGTGCAAAAGAGAGATTTCAGAGAAGATTGGTGCACCACAAGCACCAATACTGAACCATTTAGATCAATCATAGAGCCACTGGAATCCATCCAGTCTCTTTGGGACATACATCTTGCAATGAATTGTGCAGTTTGTAAGTTGTTACGAGGATCAAATGGAAAGTAATGCCTCCACCTTCATAACTCCTCAACAGATGGCAGTATTGGTATGCGGCAGGTACTGGCTTGTTCAGTAGACTCTCCCCTACAGTTCCATTTTGGTAGGAAGCCTTAGCATTGAATGGTTGTGTTGTTAAAGTGCGAAGTATAGATCCCTGCTCCGACACTCAGTCAATGCGACTTAAGCAACATGCAGTAATTGAACTCTTGAGAGCAAAAGGTTTCACGCCAAAGGAGATTCATCAGGGAATGCAAGCTGTTTATGGTGATTGTGTTGATGTGAGTACTGTGCGTCGTTGGGTGAGAAAGTTTAAAGATGTTGAGGTGGGAACATCTGATTTGCGTGACAAACAAAGAGTTGGACGTCCTGTGACAGCAACCACCGAGTTTCACAAGCAAAAGGTGGACAGATTGATTCAGGGCGATCGTCCTATCACTCAGAGAAAAATTTCAAGCATAATCAGCATTTCACAAGAATGTGTGGGCCACATTATTTCTTTGCTTGGCTATTGGAAGATCTGTGCACAATGGGTATCCCAGGATGAGAGAACTGTGAGATGCTGGTTGTGGAAACAGAGTGTCAACTTCTTCCGTGATGGCTTTAGAAAACTTATTCATCGTTGGCAGAAATGTATCGAATTGTCTGGTGATTATGTGGAAAAGTGAATAGTGGTAGTTAAAGAGCACATTCTAAGAATTATTTCTGCGTTTGATTTATTAAAATATTCCCATCCAAACCCGAGTAACGAAGGTGGAGGCATTACTTTTCATTCAACCCTCGTAAGTTAGCATTTGCAAGGCTTGCTAAACAGGCTGATTTTCCTTTTAATGAAGTACAGCTGAAGCATCTTATGCCGAATCCACTGCCAATGCTGTACAACACATCTAAAACAGCCACAAAATGGCATTGAGAAAACTTCCATGTTAGTCAAATTATTTGGGACCCCAACATTGAGCTAAGGGGACCCTATTTGGGCTCTCATGTGGCCCACAAAATTAACGTAAATTCCTGTTATACATGAATTACTGTTTCCACAGCTCCCCACTAATCCTTAAGCAGTAAATGTGTATTTGATGTCTCCTTTTTGCTCTATTATTTTTAGTCCAAATAGTCTAGTAATCTAATGCCAGGAAACTGATATCATAGCTTTCTTTTTTCTGAAATATTAATTAGACAAACAAGGGGCCACCATGGCGCAACAAGTCAAACTGTTGAACTGTTGAATATGCTGACCTAAATGTGACCAGTTCGAAGCCACAGGTCAGGGTGAGATTCTGCTGTTAGCCCTAGCTCCTGCCAACCTACCAGTTCGAAAACATGCAATGTGAGTAGATCAATATGTACCGTGTCGGCAAGAAGGTAATAAAGGTGCCCATGCAGCCATGCTGGCAACACAACCAGGAAGTGTCTACGGATAACACGCTCCTCAGCTTGGAAATGGAGCAAGAGCACCTCCCCATGGTCAGAGTTGAGCACTGCCTCCAGAAAGCCGGAGATGAAAAGGGAAGCCTTTACCTTTGTTCTGTGTATTTGTATGTCATTGTGATTCCACTGTATTAAAGGAATTGAATGTTGCCTATTTGTGTATGTTGTAATCTGCTCTGAGTCCCCTCGGGGAGATAGAGCGAAATATAAGCATAGTGTTGATACTGTTGTTAATATTATTATTGTATCTTGCAATCAGAACCAATGAGCAAATTTCCCTTTGGGATTCATGTTCATGTGTTGATCTTGTTTCCTGGATTTACTAATTGCCTTTGGGACTTGCTTCCTTCATTCACTCTTGGATTTTTACCCTTCCATTTGCTTATGGTGCCTTTTCCCTTTATATATGTGCTTTTATCAATAAACTGTTTGTTACCATGTTTGGTGTTTTGGTGAGTACTGCGAGCATGGTGAACTCCTACTGAGGTGCAACAAGCTGGGGCTAACGGCGGGTGCTCAAATCCGACTCGGGATTGAACTGCGGACCATCCGATGAACACTATTTTTCTGCCTGCTGTGTTAAGCCCAGCCCCATAATTTGTGAATTCCAAACAAACCTGGACAGTTGACATGCGAAGCCCCCTCCCCGAATCTTACCTGCCCCAGATGTAAGGGCCATAGAGGCTTTCTGCTGCACTGAGCCAGCGTTCAACTCTTCCAGAGAGTTTGCCAATTGCTGTTGGAAGGAGGCACGGCTCTGCCCACACTTTGCTCCTGTTGCAAAGAAGGAAAAATACTGACATCGCAATAGGATTGACACTTGACACAATTCACCCAGACTTTCAGATTCTTACTATGAAATTCGACATGTTCAAACACACATAATTTCAAGCTTGAAGAAAAGTTCCTAATAAATACTTATAAGTACTCAGCTTCATAAGTTAGCACAGGCATGGGTCCACTTCAGCCCTCCAGGTGTTTTGGACTTCAACTTCAACTCCCAGAAAAAATGTTCATGTTAACTCAGACATGGGAATTGAAGTTTGCCCACGTCTGAGTTAACATGAGCAGTTTTTCTGGTCCACATTGTTGTGGTAAATCATAGCAGGACCAAGTGTGTGTGTGTTGAAGAAAAACCTTATGTTGTTACTTATTATGTACAGCTGGTAATGTAGGTCAATGTTGTGACTCAGCTGGAAGCACAGAGTGCCTCTGGCGAGGATGATGGGATTCAGGTTGACAATCTGGTTCAAAATGTCCCTGTTGTAATCAATGAGGAACAGGGTGTGGAAGTTCAGTTTCCCACAGCAAGAAATGAGTTTGTTGATGCTGAAACGAGCCAGGTGCAGGTGCAAGTTGACTCAGAAAAGGAGGACAGTTCTCAGCCTGTTAAGGAGCAGGAAGCAAACTGGATAACAGTAACAAACAGACTGACCTTGATGAAACGGAAACCTTAGATCGTGCTGACCGTTTGGAATTCAGAGTTCGAAGGAGTGTAAGAATAGCTAACAAGAAGGAGGCCAGAGGCCAAAGAAATGCCTTCATGTTTTGCAAAGGATATTAAGCAGTGTGTTTAAGACCAAACCTTTGTCAGAGCGACTTTTCGTTTAACCAAGAAGTTTGCATTTTGCTTGTTTAGATTACCTAGCACTTCTTGTGTTCATGGTCTCAGGACTCAGTCATGTTCTTATGGGATTTTGCTTTGCTGGTGCCTATTTGGATCATGCTTTCAAGGTTTTGTTTTGTATTGATCTTTTAGAACAGTGTTTCTCAAACTGGGTTGGTCATGGGGTTCTGTGTGGGAAGTTTGACCCAATTTTATCATTGGTGGCATTGAGAATTCATTTTGACTGGAGGTGAACTATATATCCCAGGAATTAAAACTCCCAAATGTCAAGTCTCTTTTCCCCAAACTCCACTAGTGTTCACATTATTGAGCATTCATGCCAATTTTGATCCAGATCCATCATTGTTTGAGTCCACAGTGTTCTTTGGATGTAGGTGAACTACAACTCCAAAACTCAAGGTCAATGTCCACCAAACCCTTCCAGTATTTTGTCATGGGAGCTCTGTGTGCCAAGTTTGGTTCAACTCTTATCGTTTGCAGCGTTCAGAATGTTCTTTGATTTTAGGTGAACTATAAATCCCAGCAACTACAACTCCAAATGACAAAATAATCAGACAGCTGTGACTTACCTAGGACCAATGTCTGCAGGCACAAGGTCCCCTGCCACCAGCGCCACCAGATAAGCAGGGATTGGGTATTCCATGTAGAATTGGTATATGCCCTCTTGTTCTTCATAGGAACTTTGGGTAGCACTCATCAAAACCTGCATGCCTGCAGGAGCCTGGAAAACAGCACAAAAAGACTGTCAGGACTGTTTGATAGATCAAGGAAAATAATGGCTGACTAATAAACATCCAAAATACACTTTTTTCACTCTCACGCCTCTAGAGGCACTTAAGCAGAGGCTTGCTGGGCAATGCCATCTGTTTGAGGTTGTACTGGATGTCCCTTGTGGCCTCTTCCAACTCTGTGATTCTACATTAAGGAAGCAACAGTGAGGAAAACAGGCTTTACATCACTGAGTCCTGACCTTGACGATAGCAGAGTAGGTGCACTTGACCGCCGGTGTGTCAAAGCAGGGGAAGAAGGAGCGGTTGCACACGGAATGGCCTTGGGTGAAGACAAAGGGCTTGGAGTTCCCATACGTCAGCTCAGGATCCAGCCACCAGATCTGATGGAGGAAGAAGAAGGGATGCGTGAGGAAACACAACCAAGAGAAACACAAAGCTCAGACCACAGCAAGCAGGGTCTCTAGACAAGGAAAACAACAACCCAAAACTGGGGAGAGACACTTTGGTAGCACTCTCCAAATCTTCCTCATCACCTCTGCTGTTTCAGAGAAGAAGGAAAGAGACAAGTAGGTCATAATTAAGCACTGGCCTCTTCTGCTGTAGCTTGGCACGGAGAGCAGAGGAGGAGAGTGCTTCTTTCATGACCCGCTTTTCTCCTTCTCTTCATTCTCTGAAACAGCAATGGTGATCACAAAGATTTGGGGGGATTCTTGTCTGCCTTCAGAAGGTCAGAAGGACAAGGAAAATCCAGATGACCAAGACATCACTTGAAAATATTTGTTTGTTTATTTATCATGTCAGAAGTGAATTGGGAAGACAGTTATAATGTATAGAAATACCACAAGCAAAGTTAAAAACGTATTATACTAAATTTCCTTTGACCAGAAGCTGGTGTTGCAATAAGAAGGTCCTCCATTGTGCATGTGGCAGGGCTCAGACTGCACTGTAGTAGGTGGTCTGTGGTTTGCTCTTCTCCACACTCAAATGTTGTGAACTCCACTTTGAAGCCCCATTTCTTAACATTGGCTCTGCACCCAGTGCGCCAATGACCACTGGGACCACCTGGACTGGTTTATGCCAGAGCCTTTGCAGTTTGATTTAGAGTTCTTGATAACGACTGAGTTTTTCCTGTTGTTTTTCCTCAACGTGACTGTCACCTGGTATGGCAACATCAATAATCCAGACTTTTTTCTTTTCCACAATCGTGATGTCTGGTGTATTGTGTTCCAAAACTTTGTCAGCCTGGATTCGAAAGTCCCACAGTATTTATGCGTATTCATTTTCCACGACCTTTGCACATTTATGATCACATCAATTCTTTAACTACCAGCAGGTCCAACCAAGCCAGAGAGGTCTCAGCTGAGGAGTGGAACCAAGAGCACCTAACCCATTAGCACTATGGAGAAGGAAACCAAAACGAAGTCTATACTGGCTCGGTCGACAGCCAGGACAAAATGGACCACGGTGGATGCTGCTGATTCTGGACATCTATCAACAAGTGGGCTACAGAATCAAAATACAAATGAACCATCACAGAAGCGGCAGAAATATACAATTATTATTATTATTATTACTACTACTACTACTACTAGCCGTCCCCTGCCACGCATTGCTGTGGCCCACATGGGGGTTTTGTGTGGAAGGTTCGGCCCAATTCTGTCATGGGTGGGGTTCAGAATGCTCTGTGATTGTAGGTGAACTATAAATCCCAGCAACTACAACTCCCAAATGTCAAGATTCTATTTTCCCCAAACTCCACCAGTGTTCACATTTGGGCATATTGAGTATTCGTGTAGAGTTTGGTCCAGATCCATCATTGTTTGAGTCCACAGTGATATCTGGATGTAGGTGAACTACAACTCCAAAACCAAAGGACACTGCCCACCAAACCCTTCCAGTATTTTCTGTTGGTCATGGGAGAACTGTGTGCCAAGTTTGGTTCAATTCCATCATTGGTGGAGTTCAGAATGTTCTTTGATTGTAGATGAACTATAAATCCCAGCAACTACAACTCCCAAATGACAAAATCATTTTTTTTTTTAGTGAAGGACATACATTGGGTTGTTAGGTGTCTTGTGTCCAAATTTGGTGTCAATTCGTCCAGTGGCTTTTGAGTTCTGTTAATCCCACAAACGAACATTACATTTTTGTTTATATAGATGCTGTTGGACTTGGCTTCATGTAAGCCGCCCCGATTCCCCAATTTTTTTTTTATTTTATTGTTGTTGTTGTTGTTGTTGTTATTATTATCAACTTTGGACCCTTTTCTTACCCAATTACCCAGCTTCCATTATGGAAAATTATGGGTATTCCAGACAACATCCTTGCAAATGTCCTTGTCTTCTTACCATCTCCTCTGTCCTTTCCCTTTACACACACACACAAACAAACACACAGTTAAGCAAAAAAGACCCAACAGCTGAGAAGCATCTTTGGAGAACAAAATTATGAGTCTTCCATCAAGAAGCACCTCTAGGCATCCGCACTGTTAGGCTGCTTTTGAGCCTTATCTCCTAGAACAGTCTTAATTTCCCCACTTAACAACAAAGCATTTCTAAAGAAACAGCTGTGTGCCCTAATGGATCGGACACCCAGTGTAGCCTAAAACAAACAAGCCCTGTCATCAATGAGCCAAGAACACAGAATCAGATGGGAGGCTACACTGAGTAACACTGGGACATCGTGGCCCAGATCTTGCTTCGAGGGAAAAAGTGTAAATAAACACAGAGATGTGTGGCAGTTAAAATACGCGGCCTTGTTCATTTTATTTATTTATTATTTGGACTTATATGCGGTCACTCCCCTGGGGCTCGGAGCAGCTTACAAGAATGGCTAAAATCTAACAAAATTTAAAAGCAATTTAAAACAATTTAAAAACAACACTATCAAACATTAAAAGCCTGTCGAAACAGGTATGTCTTACATGACCTGCGGAAAGCTGGTAAGTCCCGCAAGGCACGGACTTCAGGTGGCAGAGTATTCCAGAGCGATGGTGCCACTGCTGTGAAGGCTCTGCGTCTGGTTGCGGTTAGACGCAAGGTCTTGACACTGGGGACTTCCAATAGATCTTGGTCCTCAGAACGGAGGGATCTCTGGGGTTGGTAGGGGGTGAGGCGGTCCCTCAGGTACATCGGCCCCAGACCATGCAAGGCCTTAAAGGTGAGTACCATCACTTTGAAAGTGATCCGGTGCTCAACTGGTAACCAATGCAGCTGCAGTCAGTTTGGGGTGATGTGGCATCTCATTGGAAATCCCGCAAGAAGCCGAGCAGCTGCATTTTGTACCAGCTTGAGCTTCCGGATCACCGACACAGGAAGGCCAATGTAGAGGGCGTTACAGTAGTCCAGTCTTGAGATGACCGTGGCCTGGATCACCATAGCTAGGTCGTCCCTGGACAGGGAGGGGGCCAGCCGTCTAGCCTGCCGCAGATGAAAGAAGGCGGTTCTGGTAACGGCGGAGACCTGGGCCTCCATCATCAGCAGAGGGTCCAAAAGGACTCCCAGACTCTTGACCAATGATGACGGGCGTAGTGCCTCGCCATCCAGGGTAGGCAGCTGGATGTCCCCACTGCCCAGTCAACCCGGCCATAGGATCTCCATCTTTGCTGGATTCACCCTCAACCTGCTGGCACGCAGCCATCCAGGCACGGCCTCGAGGCACTGATGGAAACAATCGGGTACAGAGTCCGGTCGGCTTTCCATCTTCAGCACAAGCTGAGTGTCATTGGTGTACTGATAACACTCAAGCCCAAAACCTCGAACCAGCTGAGCAAGTGGTCGCATATAGATGTTAAACAACATGCATTCTAACACTGCACTACCCAATTTTCAATGCACACCACTGTGCAATGTGCAAAACACAATTTTCGTAGGGAAGCAGCAATGAAAATAATGTTATGGTTGAGGGTCACGACAACATGAGGAAGTATATTAAGTGGTCGCTGCATTAGGAAGGTTGAGAAACACTGTACCACACCATGCTGTGACATACAGTTTTCCCATATTCAACCTTCTGAATTCAGCAGTGTCAGCTAAGCTGCCATACAGTTGCATTTGTCTGTAAAGGCTCTTTATGCCCTCCCAGGAATCCTGACTCTGTTGCAAAAACAGCATGCAACGAAACGAAACCGGCACCCAATGTTTGCCTGAGTCATTTGGAAGAACAGCAGGGAGGAGTCCAGAAACAGAAGGGAATTAATCCGGAGCCGAGTCAACAGCTCGAGCGAAATGGCACAGAGGTCTCCAGCTGTCCTGGCCAAGGGCAGCTTTCCAAAGGCAGAGCAGAGAGAAAAGGGCATTCCACCACCGCTTTTTATAACCTGACGGACAAGCGTGGTTTGTCCTCTTGTCAAGAAAAGAACACATCAGCAAAGACAAAAAAAAAAAGGTTCCATTCCAAGTTAGTCATTTGGAAAATTAAGCTGGAGTTGTTGTTGTTTCAAAAAGTAAACCCGCAATAACACTTTCAAATCTTTGTTGAGTGAGCACAAACAAGCGAAAATGATGAGAGAAATCACATTCCGCCAACCACGAGCGAATCTGTCCAAAGGCAGGCTTATTTTCTCAGCTCCAAACAAATCTTGCTAAAAGAACACCTCAGGGTGGCCGTAAATCACAAACTCCTTGAAGGCACACAACAACAACACCTTTAATTTTCAATATTAATTGTGGAAACCCTTTTGCAGCCAGAAGAAACACTCACATCAAACAGAGGCAGGCAAACCTGATTTTCATTCAAATGAAATTCTCAAATGCTTCCTGTTTTCAATATCCTACTAGGTATCTTTTTTCAGAGCACAATTACAAACTTTGCAATAAAAACTAGGTAGTATTGTTGTAGGTTTTCTGGGCTATATGGCCATGTTCTAGAGGCATTTTCTCCTGACGTTTCGCCTGCATCTATGGCAAGCATCCTCAGAGGTAGTGAGGTCTGTTGTAACTAGGAAAATGGGTTTATATATCTGTGGAATGACCAGGGTGGGACAAAGGACTCTTGTCTGCTGGAGCTAGGTGTGAATGTTTTAACTGACCACCTTGATTAGCATTTAATGGCTTGGAAGTGCCTGGGGGAATTTTTTGTTGAGAGTGATTTGCTGTGCCCTGATTGTTTCCTCTCTGTTGTTGTGCTGTTGTAATTTTTGAGTTTTTTAATACTGGTAGCCAGATTTTGTTCATTTTCATGGTTTCTTCCTTTCTGTTGAAATTGTCCACAGACATGTGCCTTTCATCTCAAGAACAGACAAACATCCCGAGCTCTGAAGATCACCTGGGAAGGAAAACTCACAGCAACCCAGTAATAGTAGTCCTGCTTATATCCTGCTTTTTCTCTCTCACAGGAGACTCAAAGCAGCTATTTTTATTGTGTTTAAAATTACCTTCAA